ATTTCAACTAAAACCTAGTAAAAAATGCCTGAGTTGGTTTTGCTTCCCTTATTTTGAAACAATGCATTTCTTTGTTGAAAATCTTCCCTGAAACTTTGAATGCTTTGGCCCCAATCTATTTATTGCTAGTTTATGACTATATTTACAGCATTAATTGTAGATATGTTATATTTGCATGTGTTCTATGATTTGCTCTTTTTTTTCTTTTCTTGGCCTGCATGTTTGCTACTACAGGAACCTGCTTGGGAAATCAATGGCAACAGAACAACCTTCAGCCCTCTAACTAACACGGCGACTGGGCCTATGGGTAGTGTTTTAGCAACCAATGGAACCTTTTCAGGCTACCTCAACCAGCAAGAGATCAGCCTTTCAAATAGCTCTTCCTACCTAAAGACTACCACAGTTAGATCTTCCATGTCCTCTCAGTCTGTGACTCCTGACCTTTCACCTGCCAAGAGCACGTTAGGTTCCAAAGCAAGCCCTGCTTTGGCTGGTGGCAGTAGCCCTGCACACCAGCTGAGCCCAGCGAGGCAGTATAACAACCCCATTGGCCTTTACTCGGCAGAGACCCTGAGGGAAATGGCTGAGATGCATAAATTGAGTCTCAACCGAAGGGCTTCGGAAGGTGGACTTCCTAGAGGGTAGGTAACATGGTAACATTTTTAATTATTTCAATAAGTAATGAACTTGCTGAGCAGTGATTGTAATGGTACTTACCCTATTGTGCATTTGTCTGGCAATCATTATTAAAGTCTGGATCAATAATTAAATTTTCCAGTAGCCCCCAAAACATACCCAAATGTCCATTACAGAGCAATGGTTGTTGGCATCTGATGTGCAGCATGGATTGGCAGTAGTCAGCAGAGGATGAGGGGGAACACTAGGACTGAAGTAACTGTGATCATCTCAGGGTTGTGACACTCAGCAGTTCTAACTAATGCATGGAGTTTCAGAGAACCAAGTATTGCTGTCAGACATCAGAGCAGCTGCCATAAACCACACCTGATCTTCCGTACTTTGCTAGAGAGAAATGGCTTTGACCAGCAAATCTTACATACCCAGCTACTGGAGTGTCCTGCTGTGATTCCTGCCTTAATGTGTTTGCTTTCCTATGCAAAATGAGTCAAAACTGCAATATTTTGAATCCTTTAGTTTGAAAAATGTCTTGCATCTGTTAGCTTTAATGTTAACTTTGCTATAACAAGGAATGATCTCCAGATACTGCCCAGATAGTTTGATCCCATGCTGTCAAGGTTTTCCATATTCCTATATTGCAGGTCATCTGTTTTATTAGTAGGTTTGTGAAGTGAGGAGTTTGGACTGCAGTACATGAGAAAAAGCAGGGAGAAACAGGGTTTCCTAATTTTTTTGCCTTCATCTATAAATCCTCAAACAAATCTAATTTTTTGGTTTTATTTTTGGCTTTGGGTTTTTTTTAAATGAAGATAAATTTCTTGTTAGGAATATGGAGAAAAGTGGGTTTTTGACACTAGGGACTTGGCTATATAAGGAAAACCAGATAAGTTCTGATAATCCACTCAAGGTCTGATAGCAAATGCATATATTCAAGTACTTTATATCCATTTGCAGCAGCTCTTTGCAAAAATAAAACCAAGAGGTTTTAAGTTGTAGAAAAGTAGAGATGTTTCATCCTATTAAAAGAGCATATACACCTGTTCTAGATGATTCAAGCAATTTTAGATGATTCACTGCCACTCTCGAGCACTCAACATTAACAATCCTAATTAACTTACCTGAGAAAATTCTATCCTCCCTTCTCATACTTGTTAATTAAGTAAAGCAATTACCTTAAAAAAATAATTTCAGTTAGTAAGCAAGATCAACAAAATAAACCTGAGAAAACTTGTCTCTTAATTTACAGTTTCCTGAAGAATACAAATTCCTGTCTTATTTCAATATACAGAGTTTCCGGGGAGTATATCTTGTCTTTTTCTCTACTATGTTCATAATCCTCCTTAATACCTGCAGAGGTGAGGGTGAAGGGGCTGAATTTTGGATGGCTCAGCATTGTGACTGTTTGTTATCAGAATTTCAACACATCTGCGTCCATCATTCACCAAAGTCTGTGTGAGCCTTTCTATTCAGTTTGAATGAAATTTTAGGGAACTGTTATCTGCCTTTACCATCTGGAACACTGATGAACAAACAAAAAAAAAATAAAAACCCCTTATCCTTAAGTGCAGGAACACTGAAAATATTAAAGAGCCCAGAAGCACTAAATAAATGTGTCTTGTCTGCTAACTTCACTGAGATTTAGAGAACTGTACATCTCTGTTGACATGCAGAGAAAATTTAGAGCTCAGTAGTGCTATCATTCCCACTCCCACTTGACTGTTATCCATGAAGAAGTATCTTGCCTCGTGCTCTGTGGAGAAAAACGTGGAACCTGTAACTATCTTGGGACTTGGTGGCATCCATGATAATCTCAGTCTCACTGTGCATATATGGGAATAAGGAAGCACTGTGAGCACTGCAAAATCAGCTCTGTTCTTTACTGGGAACATTCTTACCATATAATGCAACATGGTTGTGATATTGTGGTGCTCCAAAACTGAATTCATTGTGCCTTTCACAAACATGCACTTAGCTGTATGGTAAAAGCTGCAAGAAAGTTCAAGGATGAGGTGTGATCTTAAGGTATGTTTCAGTTCTGTGCCCTTTTCACCAGATGATTTAAACTTGTGTGAATTGCTGTTACAGGTTTAGCTAAGCCCTTCGGAAAATTCTATCAAGAAGCTGAAATTAATTTTGAGATTATTTCCTTGATCTGTGAAGAATAACAAAGCATGTATTTTTCTGACACACTTTACGTTAAAGCTTTATCACTCTGACCCATGGTAAAAAATAAGATAGCCTGTTAGGAGTGTGGAACGTGATGTGCTGAAAGCTCTGGAGTGTATGAATAAATATGAACAGTGAGTCATAGTTTGTAACGTGCGTCTTTTTCATTCCAGTGTCAGTTATTTTTCACACTGTAGGTCAAGGGCAGCAAATACCTGTCCCACAAGTACGTGCCAGGTGGCTTGGGTTACTGGCCTCTTACTGTGTGACCTCTGCGAGCAGCAAGCTGGGTGTTCCAGACATGTCCCTATATAGAGTCAAACTAAAATAATGTGTGGCTCTGAACTGGGAGGAATTTTCTCATCACATCCTAAACATAAGGAGAAGCAAAGCTTTACTCTTTTTGAAGGAAGCTTTATAGCAGCCTCTTTACATCTCAAAAATCTTTACCGAGATGTGACTATTGAGCTGTTCTTAGTGTGTGCACATAATGTTTCTTTTCTTTGGACATACTTTTATATTCCTTTAATTAAGGCATATTTTAGGGGTTTGGTAGTTCTGCCTTGAAAATGTTATTTTATATGTATGGTAGATGCCTGGATGAGTCAGAAAATGATACCATTACACTTGGTTTTATTGTAAATGAGTGCCCAGCTGTCTGGCATACACCTAAAATGGTTATAGGATCACTGATGTGCTTAAAGGCTGCAGCTTGTTCCTAATATATCTCTAACAGTTCCTGTAAAAGCATTTGGCTTAATGTAGAGTTTATAAAGCTAGAAGAATATTTTCAAATCTGAGCATCTGACCAGTAGCTGCAGAGGGCGATCAGTGATTGCTTTACCATGGAAATGCATAAGTGCAAAGCCTTTACTGCAACTTTGGCTCATTAGGGAGCTTTTGATCATGAAAAGTGCTGTTGGATGAGCCAAGGCAAAAAAATCATATGTAGGAAGAAGCAGTAATATCAAAGGTTCTGCAAGAAAAAAGCAGGAGGGGTCAAATCCACTTGCAACGTCTCTCTTTAATAGTGTAGCTTTGCTGTCCGGTATTTTGTATCAGTCCCAGACACAGAAATGTCACAGCAGCAAGCTGGATTCCTCAGTGCCCAGTTCTGTCAACAGCATTCCATACAGCCGAGTAAAAAGAGAAGTTTATTAACTGACCATGGATCTCTTCTTGTTTATTTTGCACAAAATAGGATCAATTAGTCTTCAACCAAGAGCAGAATGTGGGTATTCTAAGCTTCAGGGGAAAAAAAAAGTTAAAATAATTATCACAGCCCATTACTGCTCTTTGTGCAACCACCACAAAGAGTTACTAGGAAGAGTACTGTAGTCCAGACTGAGCACCCTCTGTTCTGCACTCCCAGTTTTATCCTGTATTATGGTGCTTTGGAATTACTGTGCAAGCACCATCACTGGTTTATGCAGAGATGCAGGAATGGAGTGTGAACGTACATTTTTTTCATACTGTATAGAAACAGTTGGAATAAAATATACTGATATGGATATCCCAAAAAACATATAGCAAGTGTAGTTTGTTTTGATTCATGTGGAATAGACTAGGAATGACTATTCCAAAGTTAATTGGCTTACATGCTTCTTGGCATAATGTAGGTGCAGTCAGATCTAGGCAAATACTTTGTTATATACAAAGGCATTTTCCTTAGTTTTAGCTTTAAAACATTTACCAGTATATTCTTTGGATCTTCTCCAGCATGTAAAAGGCTTAAAAATCAGTCTTGTAAAACCAGCTCTGAGGGTGGCCTGAAAACAGACTTTATCCCTGAATATTCAGTATCTACGAGAAAAATATAGTCCCTACCACTCATTTGCTATTTTCAGGTGAGAATATACTCTGAAAATCCTCCTTTTTTCCCTCTGCTCCCTCCTCCCTTCACTTTGGTAGTAGTAATTTAAGTATGCACACCAGTAAGATCGCGTTCAACAGTCAGCCAAAATGCCATGGTACTCTACTAAATCCTGGTGGATCAACTATAATCCCTGCATTTTTTCCTTTCTTAATCATGTTGGGGTTTTTAGGCATACATTTACTTTTTGTTCTTATTTGTATATGGTCTAAGAAGAGCTGTAGTATTCTTTTGAAAATACCTTTACCCTTTGCACTCTACAAACTATTGACTTTTTTGTGTGTGGTTGGTTTTGATGTTGTTTGTTCTCTTTCTCTTCTTCTAGGTCATAACCAACACCGCTGCCAAGTTAGTATCACCTCTGTGTAGTGCCAGATATTTGTGTGATGCTGTGTGTGTGAAGATGTGTTTTCTGGGGTAGCATGATCCCCTGTGCTCCTGCTGTGTCTGCTTGCAAGTGCAAGTATTTTTTTTAAATGTCTGCTTGGTATGGCAGGCGCCCTGCGCTGCCCCTGCTGTCCAGCAGTGCTCCCGCTTGGCATTTTTGGTGATGCTCTACTGCTGTGAATGGAGCTGCCACCTGAACCTGCCCAGTTCTTCTAAAAGCTTTCAGGTGGTTTTGCTTCTATGGGCAGGTTTAAGTCCTCCTAAATCTTTAAGTCATCTTTATGCCCTCAAAGTTTGGAGAGCATTATCTGAGCTCTTTTTGGTATGTTAGTAAAGTACTTTTAGCTTCAATGTTAAATTAATTTCTAAAGTCTGCTAAAATTCAAATTTAAGTTGGAGTAAGATACTGATATAGGGAAAAAAATAAATGAAGTAATTTACCTTGATAAATCTATTGCCCAAAAAAGAAATAACTATTAACTTGAAAATGTGATTGATCTGCTTTATTTAGGAGACTTCACAGAGTTCTCAGTTTTGACGTTTAGTTTTCTAGGGGCAGAGGATTGTCTCTAAACTCTTGCTTTTTGCCTCTGACCTGAGTGTTGTCCATTAATTGCTGGAGACTGGGTTAAACTGAGTATAAAATAAATAATTCTAATAGTTAAGTGTCAAATTTAAACTGACAGTGCAAAGTTAGAAGTAATAGAATACATAAAGTTGAAATAATATTTAGTGCATATAATTTACATGGATCTTGCATTCTCTGTTTATTTCAGTGAGGTGTGGGTGTGATGATGTAACTCCTTTGGAGTGAAAAACCCTAGTTTACATTAATAATTATTCTGACAGGATTGTCTTAGAAAGCAGAAGTCACTTTATAGGGGTGTTTGTAATCTTACTTGCTTTGGGATTTATTTTTCCTGATCCTTTTGTAGCTTAGGAGAAAGATTGTATTCATTTTGCAGAGGTGGTCTCTCTGCAGCCTTACCTCTGCCACTTTGTCCTAGAGCCCAGCACTCCTTACAAGCACTAACATCTTCTGTTTGCTTCCAGAGTTAGAAAAAGAACTCAGCAGTTGGAAATCTGTACGTTTTTTCTGTTATTTTTATCATAATCTTATTAACTTCAGTGGAAGTTTTGCCTTGATGTATGTAATGTGACTACAACTTCTTGAAAAACAGCACTAAAATTGTTTAAAGACCACAAGTGAAAGCCCAAATGACTCCTGCTGCTACCATGAGGGAAGTTTAGGCTGTTCTGACATTAGTAGCTTTGATTTCTGTAACTGACTTTGGAAGCTAATTGCTTAGAACATTATTCTTTAAAGGTGACATATTTAACCTCTGTCCTTTCCTTCACACAATCTTCTCAGATTTTGGGTTTAGAATCTTTTTAGTACTTCCAACAGTGTGAAAGAAAGAGAACATTAAATTCAAGATCTTGAGGACCTGTGTGTTTTTAATTATCATGTGATTATTTAGGGTATTACACAGAAAAGAGATATTGTTGAAGTCAGGCATGTGCATGCTCAGTACAGAACCCTGCACGTCTCTGCACATCACCCCTCCAGAGATGATGTCACTGTAATTATAGAATTGTCAGAGTTGATGAATAGTTAAGGGAGATGTGTTTTAAATGTGAGAATGTCTTGGTAAAAAGATAATTTTCACTTTTTTTGACTGCATAATGCTGCTTCCCAATTCCCTCCCTTAAAATATTGGCATGTGCAAGTGAAGGCTGTGGCTGTAATGCAGCATGTGCACCTGTGTGTCTCTGGTCCTCACACATGTGGTGGTCGATGTTCTATCAAGGATTTGCAATGATGTGTGACTGTCTCTCTCTCTGTCCATCCTCAGTCAGGGCATCCCATCAAACAAAAGGCTGAAAACAGAGCAGAATCTCCTGGCTGGCTTCAGAGGTGGCATAGCACCTGTGATAGTCTCCAGATAATTAAGTCAGATGGCTACCAGCCTTATTTGATTTTACCTTTTTCATCATGCTGGGTTGAGGGTTCAGTTTTAACTCTGAGCCTCCAGGGCTACCCGTGGTAAACAGGTACACTGTTGTGTGTGTAAAGAGAAAAACAATATTAGGCAATAAATTTAGAATCTAATGTCTTAAGCTGAAAAGGAAAATTATTCCAATCAAACAGAATTAAATTCTTCAGCAGTTCTTCTGCTGGGGGAAAAATATCTATTTCCAGCTTTTGGGTTCAGTTCTGAATGAAAAATTTGTGAAATATCTGTTATTTCACAAAGGATGGAATTCCCAGTTTTGTCCAGTTTAGTGAGTGCATGGCATCCCTCCTGCTGGCATCCGCCTGCTGCTGGCAGGACAGGAACAGCAGACTAGAGATTCACTTGCTCTCCCATAGGTTGAAGAGCAGCCACTAGAGTGGCTGACATTGGTCATTGGAGCTCTGGGCAGTGCTCAGTCCTAGCTCTAGGACTAGAACAATGTACAACTCAGCCCTACAAAAATACCAGCTGTTCTCTGGCTACAGTCTGACATCAACTGACTCATTCTGCTGTCATGGAAACTTCAGTTAGCTTGCTTTAGGGGCTCAGTCTGTCAAATACAAAATGTTTCCTTGTAAATGGAGTCACTTGGAAACTAAGGCAGCAACTCTTCCAACTGCACTTGTCCTGTTGGTTGCAATGTTGCATATTTTGATCTGGGACTGAACATTTATCATGCCATAGCAGCACTTCAGGCTGGCTGTACAGAGATTTTGGGAAGATTTAGTCTTTATGAGGAAAGCCTTGAAGATTAAAAGGTGCAAGTACTAAATTTCACTGTGATTAATAACACAGACAGAAAGTACTTAAACCTTCTAAATAATAGAGAACCTGGTACCTGTATGCTTCACTGTACTTTCTAGACCTTTGTAACACCCTTCTGAAAACAAATGGATAAAAAAAGAAGTGGGTATTCTCTGCACTGTGCATGTACATCCCATGGATATCATATATACATATGCATGTTTGTATACATTTAGATATATATATGCATATAACAGAATTTTAGTATATGTAATTATCACACAAATACTTACAGATTTTTTGTGATATTTTAATACAGTGACAGCTATTTCACCTTTTTTTTCCTTTTTATACGTCATAAGCCAACTCAAAAATGACATCCATTAGCACAGCCACATTTTTGCCATGACTTGGTACGTTCATTGTCTATGCTTCTCTGATGAGAAGCTTTGCTGGTGAGATGCCATGAACAGACGTGCACACTCCTCTCTTGGTGGTGCTTCCCTCACTTAACTTCACGCCTCTCTCCTTTCTTCCCCTCCCTTCTCTGTGGAACCTCACTCTTGCATAACCCAGCACGGACTTCACGGAGCGTTTCAACCCCAATGTCCTGAAGGACTCTGCCCTGTCTACCCACAAACCCATTGAGGTGAAGGGCCTTGGCGGCAAGGCTACCATAATTCACGCGCAGTATAACACCCCGATCAGCATGTATTCCCAGGATGCTATCATGGATGCAATTGCAGGCCAGGCACAAGCCCAGGGTGGAGAATTTGCTGGGTAAGGTTATTTCCTTCTGTGGAATGCTCTTTCTCTGCATGGTACTTGTAACATCCCTACCTGCATGACACATTTGCTCTTCCTGGACTCTTCCTTTTTTTCTGGGGTATATTACACATGTGAAAAATGCCTATCAATCCTAGACAGTGTCCAAAAACACTTCTATGTTTTGAAGTTAAAAGGATGGATCACTAGAAAATCATAGCATGCTTTGTTGTTGGAAGGAACTTTAAAGATAATCTAGTTCCAACCCCCCTATCATGGTAAGGGGTACCTTATCTTACCCTACATTTTGTATTCCTCCTAGAACTGGTAAACTTCAAAAAAATACATGTCATTGTGTGTATATGATATTGGATGGCTTTTCATTCCTGACAACCATGATTTATAATAGTCACTATTATATGCATAGCTCAGAAAGGACAGAAAAGGGGGGTGGAATTTTTATTGAGACGTGAAGAATGTAAAATATTTATTTAGCACTGACTGCTGTTTTATTCTTCAGAATAGAGTATTTTGCTGTATTTTCCCTATCCCCAGTTTACATACAGTATATGTGTTTTACACAGATCCTTTGGACTATGGCAAAATCCCCTGATCTTGAATAACTCTGCTTTTCCAATGCACGTTTCTGGTAATCTTACCTGATTAACTTATCCAGAGTTGTAATAACGTTTCTGAAATAACATATGCAATAAATGTAGCCAGGTTTCTCTCTTACTGGGTGTGCTTCTGCCCAAAATAGAAATTGCCTTCCTTTGGTATGACACCAAAATACAGGTATAGCAACGTACTTTAATGTAGTTTCTTTTCCATATGTTAGCTGCAGGCTTATTCAGAATGAGGCTGGTTTATATATTTGATTGTGCTCCCTTTTGCTGGCCATTTTTCTCTCTTTTTTATAATTGTTTTTCTTTTCTGCTAAGTTTTTGCACCAATATTGTTATCACAGCTCTCCCTCATGATGGATCACAAGCAATACCTTTAGCTGGCTTTGGCCATGACTCAGTGAATCTCCATAGGTGTTGAGTAGACTCATTTTTCCAGTTAGTGAAGTACAAAGAAGTTCATTTTTGTTCTCTGTAAGGGTTCACATCCTTCATTGGTGTGGATTATAGGAGACATTTTATGATACATTGGCACTTTCTATTAAATGCTGTAGCATTATATAATGCAACTAGTAATGTTTTATAAAATTATCTATTTAAATGATCAGATTATTATAAAGTTAATGCTGCATATGTGGATCCTTTTCATTTTATAAGTTTCCTTTTGTTCCCTCTGTGATATTCTGAACTTTAATTTCAGTGGAAACCAGTGTGTTCTTTAGCTTGCTTAATCAATCAAATGTGGGTTAAGATTATGCTTAATGCAGAAGTAAGTATTTTTGTGAGATGTTTTTAATATAAAAGCAGACCAAATTGTGTGCTGATTCATTTTGTCTCAGTTATCAGCCTATAATTTGGTCTTGTTCTTAATTAATAATCTTAGTCCTTTTAATTTGTCCACAAGCAACTGTAGGGTGGTAAGCACACTCAGCCTGCACATCTGAAGGGCAGACAGCAGCTGGAAACAGGCTACTTATTTTATCAGTGAAGAAGGACAGACAGGCTTAAGATATGAATTCATTTTCTAGTTAGACTGTTTGAAATCAGTGATATTGTAACTTCATGACATCAGAGTCAGGCTCTTGTCACTTAAGAATAAGCCATACTTACAGGACCACCATGGAAAACATAAAGGGAGGGACACAATTATTCCTACTCAGACTCCATGCTGAAACTTAAAGGTAGAAAATTTTGAGTGCCCTGACTTTATATATTTTTCTAGTTTAATTGATATTGCTAAACCAAGAACCAGGACTTAGGTGGCTGCAGTAAAACAATGAGGACAGTGCATTTTGAATAGATTTCTGTCAAACCACTTCTAAATTCCATTATGCAGTTTTAGCCAAATTCACAAGTTGTATAAAGACATAAATCCAGCACCTTTATTTGGAATAAGATGTGACAGCTGAAGTAGAAGAATCAATAACGTGATTGTACAAACTAAGGTCTTGTGTGTCCTCTACAATAAGTCAACTTGGCTGGCTGTTTAGCAGTCTACATGAATTTCTGTTTTTTGGGTTGTGGAGACTTTACGTCTTAGAGCTTTTTTTAAAAAAGCTGGAATCCATCTAATACCTGATGCCACATTATTTTGTTGTATGTCTACATCAGGGGTAGAACACTGCAGTGTTCCTAAGTTTTTACTTAATAACTACTGAAATTAAATCTGCATAATGACTCCAGGGAGCGTTTCACATAGTAAGCCACAGTTTATAATTAACTCCAAAAAGTAAAATTCCATTGCTACTTATTCAAGTTTGACTGTCTTTAAAGCTCGTTTTAATGGTAAAAATGTGTGACTTAAATGATGATAAGAAAAAGGAAAATAATTTTTATTGACTCCTACTAGAATACCTTAGGCTCTAGATTAAAAACCTGCACAGCTCTAACCCATTTGGGAAGAGGGTTTTTTTTCAGTAGCATCAATTTAAAGTAATATGCTTAAAGATGCATGATATTTCTGCACATCCACACCCAGATGGAAAGAAATTAAATTACAAAGAGGTATAACAGAGGTATTAACATGGTTATGTGCATCTTTAGGCTGTCTGTAAGAATCAACTGTCACATTTAGGTTTATGAAATGCTCATAATAAGCGATGCGCTCTGTTTTACACTTCCATGCTGAGTGGCTCATATGTCCTAGTTATTCATCCACAATATAATTATATTTTTTAAAAAAAGAAAAAGGCCTGCTGAATTAAAGACAGAGTTGGAAATACTCCAATGTATTGTATTAATTTAGTTCAATTTATATGTGCATGTTTCACTATGCTGGGGAGGTTAATTCACTAAGCTCCATTTCCTGCCTTAATCATCTACCATAAGGATATTAATATGTCATTAATGCCACACATTGCTACTGTGAAATTTGTGGTCCAGCCTCCAGCCCTAGTTTTTTAACAATGCTCAAGTTAATGGCATATCTATACATAAACCTTTGAACTGCTTTTTTGCACATAGGTAATAATATAAGAACAAAGCATTTGAGCTAGAGGATTTAAACAGAGGAATTTGAACTGTTTGTGGCTGGCACACTGCTGCTGCCACAGTGATCTGTGGTTGAAACCAGCAGCACTGTCTATCCAATGGTTTATTATCCACTCTAGAACAGTGTTCAGCTGGGAAATTTGCTGTCCCATACAGCAGGTTTTTAAGTTTCCACACGATTAAGAAGTCAGTGTGGGGATATAAAATTAAGTGTTGGTCCACATCAGGCAGTCACTTCTGGTATTCATACAGGGCAGGTTCTGGATGTGAAGCACCCTGAAGCAACTTGGGGACTTGAAAACAGGGTCACCTTTTGGGGAACATTGCCATGTCAGACCTTTCAGCATAGCCAAGTGTCAGAAGCAGCAGCAGCAAAGTCCCGAGGGTGTTGCTGTGACTTACTGTTGGTATTACAGAGAATCTCTTTGCCATGCAAAGACTATTCCTGCAGAAGGAAAAAGAAGGCAGAACTCACTGCTGTTCTTTCTTTCCTGCCTCAGCAAGCCCTTTTATTATGTGTGATGGACCAGAAGAGGAGGATTACTGTTCTCTCTCCCCTCTTCCACCTAAAGAAGGCTATGGCACCATTTTGTCCATTGCTGCACACAGGAGTAGCACTAATGGCAGAGCCTTCCCAAAATAAACAAGTCTGCATTCTGCCTTACTGTACCTGCTAGCATTTGGATATTGTAAAGATTGTGGTCTAGGAAACACGAGCTAAAAAGAAGCTCAAAAATGTTGCTTCCTCCTACAGGCCATCTTTCACACTGAGGAACTTTTTTACATAACTTGCATGCTTCGTGGCAGAGCTTAAACTGAAGAGTCAAGTTTTTCTTTAAATTCACCAAAGTTGCATTCCACCCCACAGATGATTGTGCAGAAACACAAAACAAACAAACAAAAACAAACAAACAAAAAAAACTTAACTGGGGTTTGTACTTCGATGGCTCCTCAGGAAAGTGAGAAGTTTGCATATGTGGGGGTTATAAATACATGCTATTATGTGTAAATCCATCTAAGCAGTGTATATTACCCTGTGCTGAAGAAGAGGAGTGTGTCAGCTGGGAAGTACTGATATTTAAAGCACTACCTGGTAACATTTGCATCCCACTCTGTGTAGAATGTTAGACATACTGGCTTTTCATAAGTCCTCTCAGGCTTTCAAATCACAGGCTAAATGTCTGAAGATTTTCTGTGCACAGTGGTATCTTAGCACTAACTTCAAGCCTGAACCAAGGAAGCAACTGTTGTACCAAATGGCCCTTAACTTTTAACAGAACTGTTTCTCAGTTTTCATGAAGTTGAGCTTGCTGCTTGCAAAGCTCTTTATGAAATAGCATAAAGCTGTTACAATAAATCACTTGCTTCAAAAATAGACCTTGTATTTAGAGCAGCCATGGAGCCAAGTTGCTCCAAGCACACATCATTCCCTCAGTGTATATTTCTGCAGCTCTGTTAATAGTAAGTTTTAATTCTGCTGTGCAGAAGTTATTTTCACTGGAGAAAAAAAAACCCCAAAACTATTAAGTTACTAAGCCTATTTCTAGCCTGCATCATATATCAAAGCGAGGTTATCTCACTTGTGTTACAGACCTGTGTAGCTTTGATTTTGGGTGTGCACAACAGGTTATATCACTTTGCAAGATGATTAAGCATGTTTTAAGACTCTGAGATACATTCTGTCATTAAACATTTCAGGTACTACTTATATATGCAAGTCTTGAGTGCAAGTCTAGACTTCCTGTGCTTCACATGTTTAGTAGACAATGGATCCAGACAATGGCAGATGAAGTTTAATTCAGTTTGAAAAAGAATCGTCTTTAGAAAAACCTATAAAAGTCTACCTAATTATTTTTATACTGAAATATGGGTTTATTTCTAATTGCAACCTTAAGGTACACTGGCCCAACACTGTAATTTAAAGAGAACATAAAGCAGTACCAACATGAAGTTGTTTTTATAAGAAATAATATGTAACAAAAATGGTCAGAGAAATAAATGTTTTTGCCTGGCCTACTCTCCACATATTATTCTAACCACTGCATGCTTGTATACCTGCCTTGGCTGAGGAATCATGAACAGGTATTTCCAAACAGATTTGAATGATAACAGGCCCTTTCAGAGACAGAATCAGCCATAACATAAAATTGATCTACATATTTTTTTAAGAAGTGTTCGTTTCAAAGCCATGTAGGGGATGGCTGGGTGAGAAACTGTGACCAGAGAGCTGCTTCCAACATTTCCCTTTCTGAATTGCAGTGCCCTCCCTATAAAGGATCCCCACGTAGACAGTGCCTCTCCAGTGTATCAGGCTGTGCTTAAAACTCAGAACAAGCCTGAGGATGACAGTGAGGACTGGAGCCGTCGCTCTGCCAACTTGCAGTCGAAGTCCTTCCGCATCCTTGCCCAGATGACTGGAACCGAGTACAGTAAGTTGAATAACAAAACATCCCCTTCATCCTGATTTTAGATTCATGCCTTTCCTCACTGCCCTGGTGTTGGCCACTGATACTCAGGCTCATGTAGTTGTCACAAGGGTGAGGATCCTGGGTGTAACTTGAGGGAGCTTAGAAATCAAAGTGAACAATCTCACCTTGTGCTTTATGAAGAAAATTCTTTTGCCAGGGGCCTCAGCATAAAAGTATAACAGATTGCACAGTAAATGAGCATTTGGGACCCCATAGTTATTCCTACTTAGAAATCAAGTCTCTGCAGTGCAATCTTTGGGTTTCCTGCAGCCTAGATGTACAGAACTGTCCATGCTTTAGACAAAAAATTATAAACGTATCATGTCTTCTGTAACAATCTTTTATAGAAGTGACTTCTGGAGGTCAAAAAAACTCATGAATCAACATTTGTATGGAATCTATGTCTCTATCAGTCCTGTTATCTAAAACTAGATATGACATGAATATCACAGAGCTTTAACCTTGTTGCCTACGGAAATGTTTTTATGGCTACCTGGTACTAAGTTCACAGGTGTGAACTTGTAGAGAGAAGGAAGGTCAGGGCCTTTTCCCAAATCAGGAGGAAATATGTAGCATTTCCTTCCCCCATTAATGTAGTGATGCTCTTTCTCCTGCTTTGTACAAAACAGCAGGACCTCTCTGTAGAATCATTGCCTACAGCTGTGAAACATGGCTAAAAATGAATGGGAAAGTAGTTGTAATAGCTACCTACCTCCTAACATCCTCCTCCCCTAGGGAACTGCTATCTTCATGATGTTCTTACAAATCCCACTGCTGCAGAGTAAGTGTGAATGCACCTTTAGATATGCTTTTGATAAGTTTCTAAAGAATTTAAACTACCAAAGAGCTAATCCCTTTCTTTCTGTTTTTTAACTGAAACATTTTTTCCTGCAGTGCAAGATCCAGATGAAGAAGCCCTGAGGAGGTCAAGGTAGGCAAGTCCCTTTGAAAAATACAGCTTTCTCCTTCTTAATAACACAATAATCTTTTTAAATGGCATTAATATGAACTTCGTTTATTATATTTTTGTCCTAAAATATTCTAACATATTTACTTAAAAATCACTAAAATTAAAATGCTACCATTGAGAGGCATTTGAATGAGAAGGATAATAAATCAGCATGTTTTTAGGAAAAAACAGTGTAAAATTACTGAAGTGTATGCTCAAATCTGAAAGCTCTCTGCTCATGCAAGTTTCCTGTACTTTACTGGGTGTGTGAATGTGATGAGTTCCAAGCCCTGTGTAATTACTTGAGTATGTGGATGAAAATATGTAATGCTGTGATAGCACTGAAATCTGTGAGCAATTTATTTGGATGACCCTCTGATTGACATTTGATTCTCCGTAAATGTTACAGTAAAGGAGTTGTTTCTATTCATACCCATAGTCATTGGTTTATGTCTTGTTTGGAATAAATATGACCTAAATTTGTAGAATATGGAAGCACGGGACTGCTTTTGCTAATGGATAAATGGATTTGTTTCATATGATGTATCAAAAACACCAAAAAAGAGGATATGTTCAGAGATATAATATGGAATTAAAAATTTATCGTCATCCTGCATAGCCAGGAAATAGATATATTAAATATTATTATGTAAAGCTTAAAAACTGCCATATAAATCAGTAGCATTCTGCATGCAATCCTTAGTTTCTGTTTGCATACCTCAGATCCCTGTTCCACTTAGCTGCTCTAAGCCACCAGCTGGGTTTGTGATGTGTTTGGTACTCAATCCACCCCTTCTTTTTCTATTTTATATTTTACTGCCCTGTGGGTTTTTTAAAGGTTCTGAGCTTTTGATCACAGTGCAGGTTACAAATTTTGAATCAGAGAGAAAGAGATCTGCTGAGAATATAAGAATTCTTTCAGTTGGTGTTTGCTCTAAGCCCTTCACTGCAGTTCACCCAAGTTCATGGCTGTGTGCCTGAACATCAGGCTTGACCTTATAGCCCTCAGGGATTTATTTCTTCCCTTAAATATGCAAGCCTCATTCTCATTACATGTATTGTGCATTATCTGTTTTGATGTAATAGCACACATCCAAATCCTTATTATGATGGGATTTAAAGCATTGTACTGCATTTAACAGTGCCCCATTCATATCTGAAAGTAATATGTGGTTTTAAAGAAATAATCTCTCTAGGTGTAATCTGTGGCTTTGGAAAATACTACATAGTGGAAACTTTACATGATATGAGATATGTTGACAATAATTACCTGATAACACATCAACACATGTAAATTGCACATTCTATCCAGTGTAATTCCAAGTACATGACTACATCCACTATGCTTTGTATATATTTTTCAGTCTTTAGGTATCATTGTATTATTCTTTTCTTGCCCAAGGATGCTTCTGGTTATGTTTAGGCACAGCTGAACAGGTTTAAGGTGTGCATTGATAGTAGAGACATAAGGGAGCATGTAGGTAGTTACACAGGTACAGTGCAACTGGTGTAAGCTCTGGTGCAAGGAATGAAATGGGGTCTCCTTCCTACCCCACTGACAGTGCTGGCACCTTCTGGGTGCTTGATACCCACCTCAAACATTGGACACACTCCACTGGGGATTTGGCAGCAGAGCCCTGGCTGTGCAGGCATCCATCATTGTGGCCTCAGGCAGGCTGTGAGCAATCTCTCTGGTGCTTTCTCTTGTCTCTTTGTGTCAGCTCCTCAGTGTAGCCAGCAGGAATTGCATGGAATGGTGATCAAGTTTCTTCCAAACACTTAGGAGTGGAGGGAAGAAAGATGCAGCTTATTTTTGGCAGAACTGTTTTACAAAAAAATAGTTACTTTTAGATTGCTGCTTCCAACTTCATGACATATGTTCAAAAAAAACCATAAACTTGGGAATTTTTGGGTGGCAGAACATTCCTGTCAGTTAATATTAATTAATGTGTTGCATGACTGTCCTTTGCTCATGCTGCTGCTATTTTGAAGGCACACATAAAGTACAACCTGCTATGAAAACTTTTCATTGCTGCTGTGATGATTATTATGAAATGTTTTCTGGGGAGATGGGATCCATTTCAAGCCAAACAGATGTTGTTTCTGAATACCTTTTCCTTGAATGGAGGGGTAATATCTTCAAAGCAGTAAGGGAGTTCTTGTCAGACCCACTGGAGCTAGTATATTCTGTTGTAGCTGGAAAAAAAATGCCATCGCAAAGTTTCAGCTAGAAATACTTTATATCTCTTAATTACCAAAAGCACACAAAATAGTTTGAGAAGTCATACATCAAGACTCCTTTAGGACTGTTACTTGCATGGCACTGTGTTATTAAGCACAAAAGCTTTAGAAATATCAGTGAATTTGTTGGCATTTACTCTGTTTATTGTTTTGTGCTTTCCTCAGCCTGAGGAGTAAAACCAGCCCAGTCTGCTCCTTTCTGTTTGGCTGGTTTCACTCTCAAGTTCCACTGCATTAACACAATTAATTGTCTTGTGTTTTGAGTGTAAATAATGTGGAAAATATGACCTTGTTTGCAATGACTGCAAAAAGTTTTGCAAATAACAAGAACATTTCCTTTTTCATTCTGTTTGATATACTTCTCCTTGACTGTGCTATCATCTCACATCTTCCTTCTTCCCTTTTTTATGTACAAAAGCTGAATTTAAAATGGAGCATCTAGAAAAGATTAAATCTTGAGAGGTGCTGAGCATGGCTCGAGCACTCCAGTCCACAGTCACGGGTGGCAGTAGGTGGTCAATACTTCACAGGATTCTGCTTTGAAAATCCCCTGTTGTTCTGCTTTGTGACACAAATGACCAGAAATATCTATGCAAAATGTCAACACTAATACTCACTAATTCTGAGGAAGCTATAGAAAAGTACTGCTGAAACCTGGGGTTGGTGGTCCTTGCAGGAAGGACAGCAGGTTTTATATGGGCTGACCTAAGTGTTAGAGAATGGAAAATAATTTGCATTCATTTTGCACTTGTATGAGTTAACTTTCACTGACTCCTCAGTTGTGTGAGAGGGAGGGAGAAGCCAAGAGAAACTGCTGGGAGGAAAACAATGGGATTACACTGCATTTCTAGCAAAAGCAGCCCTGTAATACCAAGCACAAGTCAAAGAATAAGAAGTTATATCAAGTTACTTCTCAGAAATAAACCATTGCAAAACCTTTCACACATGGTCCAAAAGCATCAACCAGCCTTCACTATGCTGATTGGAAAGCTGAGGAAAAAATCCAAATAAATTGCCACTGCCCTAGTTGTAAGGCAGGGGAGTGGTAGCCATGGTCCCTAACCCCTTTCTTTCTCCCTCCTTTCTTTCTTCTGTGTATGTGTGTCTCTCTCTGTCTCTGTCTCTCTCTTTCCTCATGCCACAGGGAGAGGTTTGAAACGGAACGTAACAGCCCACGCTTTGCCAAATTGCGCAACTGGCATCACGGCCTGTCCGCGCAGCTCCTTAATGTTAAAAGCTAAACACCCCCAGTCAGGGGGCAAACACAGAGAGTCCCAGTAACACATTAACTGCTGGCCTGACTTAGAGCCTGAGCCTGTCACTCCTGCAAAGATGTACTGCTAGGCACTAAGTTTATGCTGTTAGCCTGTTAGCCATTCACTGTCACCAAAGGTGAACTCATGATACAGCCCAGGACATGTTCTTCATGATAAAGTAGTTTAGCTTTTTTTTCCTTTATTATCTCAAACTTCAGTATACAACAAAATGTCACTATTGTAGTCTCTTTAATTCTGGAAGAAAATGAGAGGGAAGTTATTGACAGAATTTCTTTAGAAGGAAAAAATGCGATTTTGACAGAGTTTTACTGATGTAAAGATAATGAAGTAAGAGAAAGAAAGTTGAAAAGGAAAACTGATAGGCCTAGACTTTGCTAAATGTATAACACAGTTTGCATAGTTGAATGATGCTGTTTGAAATAAAATATTAGCATTGTGAAGTCATATTTCAATATATTTTACTGGCAAAAGTCATTTACTGAACCAGTGCTGTAAGTTTTGTGTTGGAAACTTTATTTATCATTATGTGAAAGAGAGATAGCTGAGGTTGCTCAGGATCTACAAGGAAATGACATTTTGGTAGAGGTGATTAGGAGTGAGAAGAATATATCATACTGCTGGTGCACTGAAGCTTTTAAAAGCATCTTGTAAGTTTTAAGGAATATGTTGCCCATTCTGTATTGCTCTTGCTTTGACTTACATTTTTTCTGTATATAGCAGCATGGTTTATCTGAAATAAAAGGTTTTAAAACTAAAATAACTATGTGCCTATTTTACACAGTACTTTATTCTATTTTAAAACAATAACTGCTTCAAGTGATTATTGAAAGAAGGAGAAATTTTCTTTACCAAATATAAAATTTGGTGAAAAAGCTTTCCATTATTAGCTGTAATTATTATTGACCTGTAAGTTGTCTGAATTGGAATAAACCTGACAAAGCAGTTCAGTTAGGTACCTTTATCTGGTAGCAATAATTCCAATCAAAGGGATTAATGCATGAGATCAGATTGAAAGTATTACACTTTTTGCTGCTTCCAAAATTGTCTCAGCAGCTTGTACAAGAACCAAGTTCATTCAAACTCCCATTTTTTTCTGTGTTATAGAAATAAAGAAAAGTTCATGGAGAAGTTTGTATGAATCAACCAAATACTTAAGTGCTTAAAGGGTTATCATACATATATAAAAAACCTAATTCTTCAGTATTACTTAAGAGTATGTAAGCACTAATTACTTTTAAAATGCATTTCACTTTTCTTAGCTCTATATGAGGACATGCTATTTAATTCACAACATGCATTTATATTTTCCCTATGGGAGCACAAACACATTCTGATCATGTAATCTTATTAGTACATGTGGTATATCAGCATCACTGTATGAAACAAGAACAACATTTTAACTTTTCCTGATTGTTGCCGGGAGCAACCTTTGGTGAACCAAAGTGGTGGTGAATTTTACTTACA